AGTGGAATGGAGTGGAGGGCGGTGGAGTGGAGTGCAGTGGCGGGCAGTGGAGTGGAGTGCAGTGGAGGGCAGTGGCGGGCAGTGGCGGGCAGTGGAGGGCAGTGGAGCAGACCAGCTGGGTAGCCAGGGTGCACACAGCAGGAGGAAGTCATCTCAGGGCACTGGAGGAGGGGAGCAGAGGGGAGTGGTAAGGCAGGCAGGGCCCAAGCTATGCCCCTTTCCGGCCTGCATGGGAGAGGGGAGACTGGACTGGGGTGTCTCTCTGGTCTCCAGGACACAGCTACCGTGCCGCTACCTCTCCATGCCCCGCATTTCCAGACCGGTAGCTGGGGCAAGCAGTGGGGGGCGAGGTTCCTCAGGTCTCAGCCACACTAGAAGGGGAAGCTCAGGACCTTCCTTCCTGTCTCTTCAGTCTTGTGCAACTTGGGGTCCCTAGAACAGGGCAGGCACTCGGGAAGGAAGGGTTGAGTGCCGCCCACTTTCCATGGAACTTGCCCACGGTCACATCATCCGGCTGGCTCCCCAAGGTCCTGGGCATGGGTGCGGCTTCTGCCCCAGCGGCCGTCCTGGGTGGGCAGGTGGAGTCCTCAGGAAACACAAGCTCTCTGCGCTGCAGAGGCCTCTCTGCCCCGTCTCCACTCATCACCCTGCTGCCACGCCCAGGGGTGGGAGGAGGCCCAGGCCTTTCTCCTCACCTTCCGCACCACCTGCTGAGAAGGGCTCTGTGCCCCTCTAGGAGCCCAGCTCACCACACAGCAGGCAGCTTTCCTCCCTGACGCATTTAGTTTGTTCTTCTAAGGCTCACACTGACCTCTTCTCGCACAGGGGCAGGGCTGGAGAGGAGCGAGACCACGGGAGTTCCCGGCGCCTAGCACAGGGCGCTTCACTCCACACATCAGCCCGGTGACGCCCAGCTCCTTCTGGTCTCCACAGGGGCTTTGGCTGCCCTGCGCTCTCAAGCTGTGCGCACACGTCCCTGCACAGACAGTGCGGCATGGGCAGAGAGCAGAAGAGCCCCCGGCGGCACGGCAGGCCTACCATGCAGCGGAAGGGCAGCCACAGCTGCCTCCCAGCCTCCCCAGGCCGCCGGTGAGACCCAGCAGGCCGGTGCCCCTAAGCCGCCTCCTCCCTGCCCAGCCGTGGTCCCGCAGGCCACACAGCCTCTCGGTCCCACACCTGGGGCCCACGGCTGTGTGAGTAGAGTACCCTGGCTTCCTGACCTCAGCTCACTCCAGGACACCCCTTCATGGATGCCCCAGAGAATCTAGGCTCCCAGAAGAGTTGGCAAGGAGTGAATAAAAGCATGAGATGCAAATCATGTTGGTCAAGCACAACCCTGCCCTCCAGAGCTTCAGAAAGGCTGTAGGAGGTCCCTGAGCTGCTTTCCCGGATGGCAGTGCGGGTTTCTTTGGGACAGACCTCCACGAGAAGCGAGGGGAGTGTAGAGCTGTCCACACGCCCTGCTCCCTGACATCGAGGGCACCGCCACACCCGAGGCCACAGCGCTCTGCCCACCCTTGGCCAGGCAGACGGCTGCTCCTCATCCTCCCCTGGCTGCCAGCACAAGGGTGCTGGCAGTGAAGTGATGGGTGGGGGGTCCTCAGGCAAAGCCTTTCCCTGCGGGGGCTGCCTTTGATCTCAGGGTCCCCTCTCCTGCATCAGGCATGTGACTTAGTCAGGGACAGTCCT